TCAGAACCTGTTATTGGTCTATTCAGGGATTCAGCTTCTTCCTGGTTTAGTCTTAGAAAGGTGTATGTGTCTAGGAATTGATCCATTTCTTCTAATTTTTCTAGTTTATTTGCATAGAGGTGTTCATAGTATTCTCTGATGGTAGTTGTATTTCTGTTTGTATTTCTGATAGCCCCTTTATCATTTTTTATTGTGTCTATTTGATTCTTCTGTCTTTTCTTCTTTATTAGTCTTGCTAGTGATTAGTCAATTTTGTTGATCTTTTCAGAAAACCAGCTCCTGGATTCATTGATTGTTTGAAGGGTTTTTTGTGTCTCTATCTCCTTCAGTTCTGCTCTGATCTTAGTTATTTCTTGCCTTCTGCTAGCTTTTGAATGTGTTTGCTGTTGCTTCTCTAGTTCTTTTCATTGTGATGGTAGGGTGTCGATTTCAGATCTTTCCTGCTTTCTGTGGTGGGCATTTAGTGCTATAAATTTCCCTCTACACACTGCTTTAAATGTGTCCCAGAGATTCTGGTACGTTGTGTCTTTGTTCTCATTGGTTTCAAAGAACATCTTTATTTCTGCCTTCATTTCGTTATTTACCCAGTAGTCATCCAGGAGCAGTTGTTCAGTTTCCATGTAGTTGTGCGGTGTTGAGTGAGTTTCTTAATCCTGAGTTCTAATTTGATTGCACTGTGGTCTGAGAGACAGTTTATTGTGATTTCTTTTACATTTGCTGAAGAGGGCTTTACTTCCAACGATGTGGTCAATTTTGGAATAAGTGTGATGTGGTGCTGAGAAGAATGTGTATTCTGTTGATTTGGGGTGGAGAGTTCTATAGATGTCTATTAGGTCCACTTGGTGCAGACCTGAGTTCAATTCCTGGATATCCTTGTTAACTTTCTGTCTTGTTGATCTGTCAAAGGTTGACAGTGGGGTATTAAACTCTCCCATTATTATTGTCTGAGAATCTAAGACTCTTTTTAGTTCCCTCAGGACTTGCTTTATGAATCTGGGTGCTCCTGTATTGGGTGCATATATATTTAGGATAGTTAGCTCTTCCTGATGAATTGATCCCTTTACCATTATGTAATGGCTTTGTCTCTTTTGATCTCTGTTGGTTTAAAGTCTGTTTTATCAGAGACTAGGATTGTAATCCCTGCTTTTTTTGTTTGTTTGTTTGTTTTCCATTAGCTTGGTAGATCTTCCTCCATCCCTTTATTTTGAGCCTATGTGTGTCTCTGCACATGAGATGGGTCTCCTGAATACAGTACACTGATGGGTCTTGACTCTTTATCTGGTTTGCCAGTCTGTGTCTTTTAATTGGAGCATTTAGCCCATTTACATTTAAGGTTACTATTTTTATGTGTGAATTTGATCCTGCCATTATGATGTTAGCTGGTTATTTTGCTCTTTAGTTGATGCTGTTTCTTCCTCGCATTGATGATCTTTACAATTTGGCATGTTTTTGCAATGGCTGGTACCGGTTGTTCCTTTCCATGCTTCCTTCAGGTGCTCTTGTAAGGAAAGCCTGGTGGTGACAAAATCTCTCAGCATTTGTTTGTCTGTAAATAATTTTATTTCTCCTTCACTTATGAAACATAGTTTGGCTGAATATGAAATTCCGAGTTGAAAATTCTTTTCTTTAACAATGTTGAATATTGCCCCCACTCTCTTCTGGCTTGTAGAGTTTCTGCTGAGAGATCCACTGTTAGTCTGATGGGCTTCCCTTTGTAGGTAACCTGATCTTTCTCTCTGGCTGCCTTTAGCACTTTTTCCTTCATTTCAACCTTGGAGAATCTGACAATTATGTGACTTGTGGTTGCTCTTCTCAAGGAGTATCTTAGTGGTGTTCTTTGTATTTCCTGAATTTGAATGTTGACCTGTCTTGCTAGGTTGGGGAAGTTCTCCTGGATAATATCCTGAAGTGTGTTTTCCAACTTGGTTCCATTCTCCCGTCACTCACTTTCAGTTACACCAATCAATTGTGGGTTCGGTCTTTTCACATAGTCCCATATTTCTTGGAGGCTTTGTTCATCCCTTTTCATTTTTTCTCTATTGTCTTTACGCTTTATTTCATTAGGTTGATCTTCCATCTCTGATATCCTTTCTTCTGTTTGATCGATTTGGCTATTGATACTTGTGTATGCATCATGAAGTTCTCATGCTGTGTTTTTCAGCTCCATCAGGTCATTTATGTTCTTCTCTAAACTGGTTATTCTAGTCAGCAGTTCCTGTAACCTTTTATCAAGATTCTTAGGTTCCTTGCATTGGGTTAGAACATGTTCCTTTAGCTTGGAGGAGTTTGTTATTACCTACCTCCTGAAGCCTACTTCTGTCAATTCGTCAAATTCATTCTCTGTCCAGTTTTGTGCCCTTGCTGGAGAGTAGTTGTGATCATTTGGAGGAGAAGAGGCATTCTGGTTTTTGGAATTTTCAGTATTTTTGCGTTGGTTTTTCCTCATCTTTGTGGATTTATCTACCTTTGATTTTTGATGCTGATGGTTTTTGGATGGGGTTTTCCTGTTTGTGTCCTTTTTGTTGAGGTTTATGTTATTGCTTTCTGTTTGTTAGTTTTGCTTCTAACAGTCAGGCCCCTCTTCTGCATGTCTGCTGGAGTTTGCTGGAGGTCCACTCCAGATCCTGTTTGCCTGGGTATCACCAGTGCAAATATTGCTGCCTGCTACTTCCTCTGGAAGCTTCGTCCCAGAGAGGCACCCACCTGATGCTGGCCAGAGCTCTCATGTATGAGGTCTGTCGACCCCTGTTGGGAGGTGTCTCACAGTCAGGAGGCATAGGGGTCAGGGGCCCATTTGAGAAGGCAGTCTGCCTCTTAGCCAAGCTCGAATGCTGTCCTGGGAGATCCACTGTTCTTGTTAGAGCCAACAGACAAGAACATTTAAGTCTGCTGAAGCTGTGCCCACAGCTGCCCCTTCCCCCAGGTGTTCTGTCCCAGGGAGATGGGAGTTTTATCTATAAGCCCCTGACTGGAGCTGCTGCCTTTCTTTCAGATATGCCTTGCCAAGTGAGGTGGCATCTAGAGAGGCAGTCCTAGCCCCAGGGGCTTTGCTGTGCTGCAGTGAGTTCTGCACAGTCAGAGTTAACACTGTTAGGGGAAAACTGCCTACTCAAGCCTCAGTAATGGCAGATGCCCCTCCCCCCACCAAGCTCGATCATCCCAGGCTGACTTCAAACTGCTGTGCTGGCAGTGAGAATTTCAAGCCAGTGGTTCTTAGCTTGCTGGGCTCCATGGTAGTGGTACCTGCTGAATGAGACCACTTGGCTCCCTGGCTTCAGCCCCCGTTCCAGGGGAGTGAGCGGTTCTGTCTTGCTGGGGTTCCAGGCACCACTGGAGTAGGAAAAAAAATTCCTGCAGCTAGCTCAGTGTCTGCCTGAACAGCCGCCCAGTTTTGTGCTTGAAACCCAGGGCCCTGGTGGTGTAGGCACACAAGGGAACCTCCTGGTCTATGGGGTTGCAAAAACCATGGGAAAAGCGTAGTATCTGTGCTGGATAGCACGGTCCCTTATGGCACCGTCCCTTGGCTAGGGGAGGGAGTTCCCCAGCTCCTTGCGTTTCCCAGGTAATGCGATGCCCCACCTTGCTTCTGCTCGTGCTCTGTAGGCTGCACCCATTGTCTAGCCAGTCTCAATGAGATGAACCAGGTATCTCAGTTGGAAATGCAGAAATCACCCGCCTTCTGCATTGGTCTCACTGGGAGCTGCAGACTGGAGCTTTTCCTATTCAGCCATCTTGCCACAGCCTATGAGTCTAGATCAATTTATAGAGAATGGATGTATTTATAATTTTGAGTTTTTCAATTAATGACAATAAATGGTATGCTGGTAAAATGGCTCTCTGTAAAACACCACCACTTGATTTGTAGCATTTTTCAACTTCCGTGATGTAAATTGTCTCACCATGGCTGATTTCCAGTAATAATCCATTTAGAATCAAGTTCACAAAACTCCTGAATATTTAACAATCAGTTGTCATGAGCCAATTCAAATTGGTGGCACATCATTAAAAATGGTTCGTCACTAAGTTTATTTTGGTCAACTTGATTTTTATTTTTTATTAGATTTACTCCTAGGTCTTTTTTACTTTGTATGTAATTGTGAATGGTATATATTTATGTCTATATATATAGCATTATTGCTGAGTTATGTTTTTCTAGGACTTTATACCTTTTTTAAATATTCAAACTAATTACATAATGTTTATAATATCTTCCTATTATCTTTTAGGTATCTGTAGGAACTGTAGTGGTCTCATTTGTCATTGGTTATGTTTTCTCCTTTTTTTCCTTTGTCAATCTTAGTACAGGTATCTATCAACTTTGTTGTGTTTTGTTCCAAAACACAACTTTTTTCTGTGTTCATTCTCTCTATGTAAGGTTTGTTTTTTGTTTCTGTAATTCCTGCTTTTGTCTTTATTATTTATTTTCTTCTACTTTCGAGAGGTTTAATTTGCTATTTTTCTCTAACTTTTTGAGATAGAATCTTAGATTATTAGTCTTTTTATCTTTTTTAGCATATGCATTTAAGACTAAATTCCCCTGTCAGCACATCTTTACCTGATTCCACAAGTTTTAATATGTAATATTATCATTGTCAAGATATATTCTAACTTTGTAGGATTTGTTTTTTGACACAGGAATTATTTTAAAATGCACTTACTGATTTCCAAATATATGGGAGTTTTCTTAGTAATCGTTTACTATTGATTTCCAGTTTAATTCCCTACACTAGGTAACACATTTATTTGTACCAATTGTCTTTGCCATTATGCTAATTTAAAATGGCACAAGCTTTATATATCTGTGTGCAATATTATTTTATAACCATCACTGTGGGAACACTTCTTTTACTAGGGTTGAAGGAATACTATTCATTCTCTGTATCTGCAATTGACTGCTTATTGTTTAATAAATACCATTATTTGCCTTAATTCTGCTTTCGTAATTTTAAATTACAATATTTTTAAAATTTTTATTTTTCTCTATGTTTTTTGTTTTGAAGGAGGAGAAGTTGACTTCAATGACCTGGAAAATGTCCTGCAAAATATGGGGATAGAGCTCACATCTAGAGAACACTTGGAGCTAGAGAAATTACTTCCAATTGATGGTGAGCATTTCAAATAGTAGTTTTCAGGCAAGTTGGTGTAGTCATCAAGGGAGTTATTCCACATTACACATATCAGTAGAGTCTTGAAATAGGACTATATCCTCAAAATTTATATTATCCAACAACCTATGTTTGTTGTACATTGTTTATAAATTAGGGATTTTAAATATTCATAATTTCACAGGTAACTATTTTTAATATTTAGGAATATAAAAATTGTCTAATAAAATATACATAACCATAAATCTTGTCATCCGGGCTAAGGAATTAATATTGATGGTTATCTTTCATTCTATTGAGATGTGTTGAGTTAAGACCTATAGGAAACAGGAGGAGGAGATGGAAGAAGAGGAGGAGGAGAAACGTATAGATGTATAGGAGCTGTGGAGAAAAAAAGAGTAAAGTCAGAAAAGGTGTACTTTTTTTACTTTATCCTAGTTGATATTAATAATTTTCTCAGATGCTAAAGAATTGACAGATTTACCATATTAACAATTTTGTCTACATTTTAATTTTATTATTTTAGAAGATATTAAGTAAATTTTAAGAGCAAATTATTTTATGGTCTGTATTTCTGAACTTAGAGATTTTTATATTGCTATTGCATATATAGTTATTTTCCATATGACGTAAATTACGTATTTTCTTTCAGCTAATGGAAAAATATATAAGAATAGGTTGCTGAATTGTGTGAAAGGTATAAAAGGTAAGCGATATGCAAATTGAGAAAGAAGATTAATTGAGGTACTTGTGTTATGGTTTTGTTTCTTCCTCACCACGAAATTTGCTATCAAACTCACGTATATCTTCATAATTATTTTAATACATATACATGTTCACATTGGTTTAATAATTTCCTGTGTTTTATTTTTAAAGTTATTCTACCTATCTTAGATTTTTCTCAATTTTGGCTGTGGAAATAATAAAATTTAGTCCTAGGTATCAAAATTTTAGAGAAGCTAATATATCTTGAGATACAGTGAGCAAACAGAACCTTAGTTGTATGGATACTTATATTAAAAACTATTTTAAAATTTGCGATTTTTCTGCTATAAATAAACTGAGTGGTTTATCAACTTTCAACATGCTATTTATGTGGGCTCATTTTGGATATTGGATGTAAATGAACAGATTGATTTTAGTTCATTAATGGCCCTCTTTAAATACTTAAGTGTCCCTGGGCTCTTCTTTATAATGAAATTGATAATCATGATACATAAAAATTGGTATTTATTACATTTTTACTTTTGTTTCAATGTCTTCATGTCTTCCTCTTTTATAGAGTTGCAAGTCAATGTTCATGACATTGACAGTATACTCGGAAACATGGCATTCAAACTCACAGCTGAGGAACTTAATGATCTAACCCCAAATCTACCAGTGAATGGTGAGAAACTTAATAGCTTTGCACCCTCAAGAGAATTTGGATTCTTAATAGCTTTGCACCCTCAAGAGAATTTTGGCTGATATTTTTGATAGTACTTATTTGGCTTAGATGAGAATGATTTTTTTCTCTTAATATATTAATCTAAAGTTGGTACTTTTAAATTTTTCATTCATTCACTCATTCATTTGTTTAACAATTTTTTACTAAGCGCTATATATCAGGTGCTATGCTAAGTGCCAGAGATACAGTGGTAAGCAAAAATAGACATAGTCGGCTGGGCACGGTGGCTCAAGCCTGTAATCCCAGCACTTTGGGAGGCCGAGACGGGCGGATCACGAGGTCAGGAGATCGAGACCATCCTGGCTAACACCGTGACACCCCGTCTCTACTAAAAAATACAAAAAAAAAAAACTAGCCGGGCGAGGTGGCGGGCGCCTGTAGTCCCAGCTACTCGGGAGGCTGAGGCAGGAGAATGGCGTGAACCCAGGAGGCGGAGCTTGCAGTGAGCTGAGATCTGGCCACTGCACTCCAGCCTGGGCGACAGAGTGAGACTCCGTCTCAAAAAAAAAAAATAGACATAGTCTTTGGCTTTATGGGGCCTAATGTAAACAATTCTTAGTGTACCAAGAGTAGCTGAGAAGTTGCCAGGGCCTTAGTCAGATCAACAGTTTTCATAGGAACTAGAGCTACCAGAGTTTCAGGCGATATGTACATTTTCCCTACTTATTTATAGGCGTGGATTTTCAAATTCTTGAATCAAATTTCATGAATCAAGGACAGAATTGCCTGTCTTGAAGGAAAAATTGAATTAGAATTGAAGTGTGGTAAATCACAAAGTAATCTCTAATTTAAAGGGACTAAAATAGAATATATTAAGCTAGACACAGTCCAATGAGACAAAACAGCATTCCCTAGGAACATTTTACTGAACACTGTCTCTTACGATAAAAATGTTTGTTCACATGATTTGCATGCCATTTAGTTATAACTTTGCCATGGATTTTGCATACTGTTTCACCGTTGCCCTATGGTAAACTCATTCCCCAAAATATATCTTTATCAAATCATTGCTTCCTTCTTCAGTACTATTGATGTACTAGGTTTTTTTTTTTTTTTTTTGAGACGGAGTCTCACGCTGTTGCCCAGGCTGGAGTGCAGTGGCGCGATCTCGGCTCACTGCAAGCTCCGCCTCCCGGGTTCCCGCCATTCTCCTGCCTCAGCCTCCTGAGTAGCTGGGACTACAGGCGCCCGCCACCGCGCCCGGCTAATTTTTTGTATTTTTAGTAGAGACGGGGTTTCACCGTGGTCTCGATCTCCTGACCTTGTGATCCGCCCGCCTCGGCCTCCCAAAGTGCTGGGATTACAGGCTTGAGCCACCGCGCCCGGCGATGTACTAGTTAAAGACATGTAGTTAGATGTTAAATATATGGGAGAGTGACATCAGCAAGATGGCAGAATAGGAGGTCCCTACTCTAGTTCACCTCAGAGAAACACTGATTATCAACTATCCACAGACAAGAATGCCTTTGTTAAAATCTCAGAACCTGAGATTGAGGCTAAAAAGCACCCCCTTGGCACGTAAAAATGGAGGAAAGCTATATCAGAAGGGTGAGAGGAGAGGTTTCATTTTGTTGTAGCACAGCACCACACCAAAAGGGATCCCCAAACCAATGGTTTCTCTGGTGAAAAAAGTGATCCTAAGGTGAACATCAAGCTTCCTCAGTGTTCTAAGCAATTTTAGGTGGGTCTATTTTTGTCTTGCCTCATGGGGAACAATGGGGGAATTGGCAGGGCTAGACAACCTGGGGTCACATAGGAACAGAAAAAGGGGGACACGGTTCACAGTAACCAGTGTGCTGACCTTGATGATGGCACTGCATTCTGCTAGTGACCATGCCCAACCAGAGAGCCCAGCCAGTGGCTTCCTGAAGCCTAATGGTCAGCAAATAGGTTGAATTTGAAGAGGTCTACATCAAGACATATTATAATTAAATTGTCAAAAGCCAAAGAAAAAGAATTTTGAAAGCATCAAAAGAAAAGTGAATTATCATGTACAAGGGACCCTCTTGTAAGACTGACAATGGATTTCTCAGCAGAAATCTTGTAGGCAAGAAAATAATGGTATTATATATTCAAATTATGGAGAGAAAAAAAAATCTGCTAACCAAGAATACTGTATCTGGCAAAGCTGTCCTTCAGGAATGAAGGAGACAGAAATACTTTCCCATATAAACAAAAGCTGAGGGAGCTTATTATTACTAGTTTACTGCCCTACAAGAAATACTTACGGGAGTTCTTCAAGCTAAAATGTAAGGATGCTAATTAACAACATAAAAACATATGAATGTATAAAACTCACTAATAAAAGTAAATATAGTTAGACAAATCTGGAATTTTCTAATATTCTAATGGTGGTAGATAAATCACTTTCAACACTAGTATAAAAGATAAGCGTATTAAAAATTACTATAACTATAATAATTTGTTAATGGGCACACAATACAAAAATGTATAAACCATAATATCAATAATCTAAAATGTAATGGGGAGAAAGTAAAAGTATAGAGTCTTTTTCTTTACTGTTGCCCAGGCTGGAGTTCAGCGGTGTGATCTCAGCTCACTGCAACCAAGAACCCTCCTGGACTCAAAGCAATCCTCCCTCCTCAGCCTCCAAAGTAGCTGGGACTACGAGTGCACACCACCACACTTGGCTAATATTTTTGTATTTTTTGTAAAGACAGAGTTTCAGCATGTTGCCCAGGCTGGTCTTGAACTCCTGGGCTCCAGCAATCTGCCCACCTTAGCCTCTCAAAGTGCTGGGATTACAGGCATGAGGCACCATACTCAGCCCTTCGTATATGACTGAAGTTAAGTTGTCATCAACTTAAAATAGGATGTTATAGGATGTTTTATTTAAGCCTCATGGTAATCACAAAAGAAAAAAACCCTATAGCAGATATGCAGAATATTAAAAGTAAGGAATAAAAGCATACCAGCACAAAAAGTCATCAAATCACAAAAGGAGATGTAAGAGGTGGGTTAAATGGATTAACCTGGGATGTGGCAAAATCTTTAATTTATATTACATTTTTAAAAATCAAGGATGTGTCCCATAAACTTGGATAACTACTCAAAGAATATTTAAAATATATATAGAGAGAGTCATTCCTTGATATTTGCGGGGGATTGGTCCCTGGACCTCCCACAGATACAAAAATCCATGGGTGCTCAAGTCCTTTACATGAAATGACATAGTAGTTGCATGTAACCTATACACATCCTCCCATATATTTTAAGTCATCTCTAAATTACTTATGATACCTAATACAATGTAAATGCTATGTGTTCAGTACAGATACCACACATGTAAAAAAATATTTTTTGCCTGTGGTTGGTTGAATCTGTAAATGTGGAACCCAGAGATGTGGAGGGCCAACTGTGTAACTAACAAGCTAATAGAGGGAATAATGGAAAAATAAAAATAAGTCAAGAGAAAGGAAGAAGTAAATTTAAAAAGAGAGAATGAAAGCATAACAAGTTGGCAAATAAAGCAATAGTAAATATTGATTTAACTAAAATATAATATTAATTATGGTAAATGTAAATGCAATAAATATTCAAACTAAAACAAAAAGATTGTGAGTCTAGATTATAAAATAATATATACTACTTACATGAGACACATCTTAAATATAAATACAGAGAAAAGTTGCAAGCAAAAGGATGGATACATAATACAAGCACAAATGAAAATAAAGCTGGTATAATTAATACCAAGCTAGGTAGAGATTATAGCAAGATACGCCAGCACATTGCAGCATGATAAAGGAGTTAATTCATGAGGAAGATAATCCAGTTCTAAATTTTTATGTTTGTAATAATATAATTTCAAAATATATAAAGCACAGAATGACAAAACTTAATGGAGAAATAAATCCTCACCATAGAGATTACAACATATATCCTTCAGAAATTGCTAGAATAAGCAATCAAAATTTATCAAGAATATTTGAATAATATAATTAACAGACTTAATTTATATAGAGAGAGCACTGATATATGTTTCAGCAAAATTAAAACTTAAAAAAAAATTACCAGGATCTTCCCCTCTGTGGATCATTATGAAATAACTAGCTCTCCTGCCGTAAACAATTATTAAACTGGACAATATATATAAGGCTACTGTTTTCAAGGATTGGACACAACAGAAAGTGCAAGACTCTGATCCTTGAGAGGAGAAAAAGTTATGAAGTAAGCCTAAGGACAATTTTCCAGTCATAGTTTAGGAAGCTAAAGCCCAAGCAGAACACAGTGGTCACACTGAGCTGAGGCAGTTATAGATTAGGGTTCAGTACTGTCGAAATGGCTGGAATCTGATGGGCGTAGTGCCAGTGAGAAGAACGCTGTGTAGGAAGTGAGGCAGAAGTCTATAGGGTCAGGTGGGGGATGCTCTGAGTTCTGAGCCAAGGTTTAGACCACACATGCTCAAAGCGATGCTACACTAGAAAGTAGCTGCTACAGGACTGAGAGCAGGACAATGGCATTAGAGGTAAAGCAATGCTAGTTGATGTGTCAGTCCAGCTAGAGTGAAGAAACCTCGTTAACACCTTGGACAAGTAGCTGAGAAACCAGAAAGGCTATACCTCTGAAGTAAATACCACATCCTGGAGTAAGGATTATTCTAGATCTGCACTGTCCAATATGGTAGCCATTAGCAACATGCAGTCACTTAAATTTAAATGAATTTAAATTAAATAATACTAGAAATTTAGTTCTCTAGTCACACTAGCCATTTTTCAAGTGCTAAATAGTCATACCTGATGAGTCCTATTGTATTGGTGCAGAGGTAGAACATTTCCATCATCACAGAAAGGTCTATTTGACAGCACTGCTTTAGATCAATTATTACGATGTGCAAAATCAAACCTACACTAATTCAGGGTCACCTGCATGGAACTGCCTGTTGGAGTAAAATTCAAGATGCTTCAGAGGAATGGAAC